CTTTTGATCATCTCCCTGACCAAAAAGATTTCTCACTCCTTATTTTAAGTCCTACAATTTTAAACTTAGATTTCGCAGAGTATCTGCGTTTTTCAGTATACCTTGCTATAATGAAAATTAATCAGAAATTGTACATAATTCGCTTTTCCATGCACTACAAAACCTTATTTTCAAATGAAAATAATCAGGAATATTTTGCGGAAAAAACCTATGAATTTCTGATTTCTAACTGAAAAACTACAATTAAAATCATTATTGATCTTATCTTTGCACAACAATATCTATAAAACTCAACCTTTATAACTAGTATGCTATCCTTTTCCATCTAGATCATATTTTATACTTTTTTGGTTGTTTTTATATACTGCTGATATATCTATTATCATCCTAGCTATCCCTACAAGTCTCTGTGAGCTTAGTAATCTGTAGGGATAGCGTCATTGTTTCTTTGACTTATACTGCAATTTCAGTAGACGTTATATACTGAAGATAGTGTATTCCAAGACCGAATGCATTGTTGGATGTTCTATTGACTTTGTAAAGGAGTTTCATGACTACAACAGCTCCTATAGTCAGGAACTTCAATGCAAAGCAATAATATTTAGATTATTGGAGTCATTTTGTAACGCAGTTTACATTTAACAGCAGCAATGCACTGCGGTCTTAAAGTGCAGTATTTAGTTTTCAACGTTTTCAAATTATGTATTGATATATGTCGATTCTGATCAACGTGGTCAATTCCTGTTTAACAGTTGTCGCCTTCGGTAGCACACAATGCACACCGTGAAAAGCATTCTGCAATTATCAAAATCTTGTTAAGTTTTTATCATTCAAATTATGCATGTTCACGTTCCGTTTGCATGGCTCATGCAGGTGTTTATAACGTAACTTTTTTTGCATTCTACGATTACTTCGTTAACAGTTTTATCATGTTCTTGAATATCAACATCGTTACTCTCAGTCTATTGTATTGCTTGACAAACACGTCACTAGTTATATTTTAGACTTGTTGCTCTTCTTCGTCATTGGAATATCAACAGTATCACAGCGATGCGTTTTGCATTATACTCTAGCTGTGTGTCAGGTTCCCAGAACTTGCAATAATATCCTGGGCTGTTGTTAGTAGCGTTGTCTGGTATCAGTGAAGAGTTATCCATCTTGGTGCAGCTCTTGCGTCTGGCTCTATCAGCGAAGCAGCAAAACTGTTTCTATTAAATTGCACTAACTTATTTTCACCAAAACGTCGTGGTGGAGCTTAAAAAACAAGCCGCTYGATAAATGCCAAATAATGCAACCGTSTKGTTTTCAAGCCAGTAGCCGAATTCTGTAAATTMTCTATTGGTTGAAGTCTTTTAAAATAATTCAATCTTTGTAAGTTTTGACTGAGCAATATTTTATTCTGAGACAAGATCAGAAATTACATTTGAAAACATCGCAAAAATTAAGTATAGATGAATATCAAACACAGTTGGTAAACTGTACAATTATCACCAAGGTTAATGAAATTATTGACATGTTCTTTTAAACTGAATGCAACGTCTATTAGATGTGAGACTTATGAATAAATTGTTGTATAATTAATATTATTATATATAGATGATTTCTAACGCGCGCTCTGATTGGCCAAAAAAGTGTTGTTTATGAGAGTATAAACCACGACTGAGCCTTATTTATTTGTTAAATAATAAACTATGCCTTGGTCTTGTTATTTCAAGTCAGTTTGCAACGTATTGCTAACCAGGTGAACATTGTTATACAACACTAACTCGTGTACAAGAACAGTAATTTTAAAAGAACCCATCGGCTCCTCCTGATAGCATGAACCACTAGTTGGTCTCAGTTATATTTAAGCCTATTCAACTATATTCGACTACATCAATGTTGAAAAGCGTCGGTGCTTTTAAAGAAACAGTTGTGCGTGAAGAGAGAACGAACTTGTCTGACGTTTTTTATGTTTTTTTATACGGATTAAAATTCATCTTTTTGCACAACTATATCAATATGTGACAAGGTTCAAGAAATTCGAAAATATGCACTTTTTTAACCTTGAAAATGGCTGCTTGAAATGCAGTTGGAAATTCTACGATTGAGATCAGTTAAATTGCTTAGTTTTTTAATGGAACAGTTTCAATAGGTATTATTCGGTCAACCATGGATTAGAATTGTATGGATGTATCAGTAATTAAAGTAACCAAGAAATATACCTTACTCCACTATAATGCCTAATTTATGTGCTACCTTTAGTTCCCGATTTTCAAAATGGATGATGTTCAAATTTGAATGGTTTAGTAATTTCAATCCTCGAAAAGTCGTAAGTGCATAAACTCAGTGAGAACTTTTTATGTCAACGACACCATTTCTTTACTTAGTTATATCGTTAGAGTTACTACAGTTTTTGTGAAGCTAACTTTTACCCTCGCGTTTTTTTGATTTGAAAATGCAGTTGTTCTTATTTTATAGAACACAGAACGAAACTCCTGTTGATTAAACCTGCTGACCAGCAGTCTAACAGATCGCGGGTGCCTATGTGCGCTTTAGAAGAAAGTTAAATGAGAAAACAGTTATATTAATTCTTCGTTTTTGGGATATAAAATAAATTAAATGAACTACTGACATAAAAACAAGATCTAGTGCGAAGCTGTTTGCATAAAACAGTAAAATAGAATCAGCCTGACTCACAAAAGACTAAAGACCGATGCCCCCTGTTTAATTATCGCCTACAGTAAAAACATCAATGAGTGAGTGAGTGAGTGAGTGACAGATTCACCCCCTCCAATAACTCTTCGATTGCTTCGCAATCTTGGTGTCATACTTGGTGTCAATTGGTAGGTGAAAAGTACGAAAAAAAACTCGCTACCAGCTAAACGTAAAAATTAAAATAATTGGAACGAATTCAAAGTGCAAAGGCAAAATCGTCGCTTTTAACGCAAATAATTTCAAAACAGGCAATGACTTCATTCTCTTGTTTAATACTTGGTAACAACATGCAATATAATTGTGGCCCTGAATTAGTAAAATTGTGTTTAACAAGAAACTTAACTACATGTACAACAAAATAATTTTCCATGCAGCAGTTACAATAATCTTTATGCTTTAAAAAACTCTTGTTATACCAGATAACGGTCCGTGAATTTTAAGAAAGCCTAACAACGTAGAATAAATTTGCAATGTGCAGCGACGCCATTTTGTAAGCCATGATGCTAGTCTCGCACTCTTCGACTGTCTCACAAAAGCCGTTTTGTTTTTGGTGTAAAAACGGCACAGCCATTTTTGCCGCAAAGAAGAAAAAAATGTATCAGCTTTTTTCCCGTTCAATGAGAGCGACCGCTGTTTTAGTACACTACAGACTCACTTGCATAGAGAACAAAAGAAAGCACGAAAAAATGTTGACATTACAATAGCTCTAGAAAGTTGAATCTTCTCCGATTTGAGGATAAGCCTGTATTCCACAAGACTTAAGCGGCGTTTACACGAGCAATTTTTTCTTGTTGTCCATTTACAAGAGCAAATTTCGTCCTTGACAATTTTTCCTTGTCCATTTTACCGCATTTTACCCCATTTAGACGAGCAATTTCTCCTTCTCAAGGAAAACTTGTCGAGGAAAAATTGCTCGTGTAAACGCCGCTTTAGAGTTTGAGCTTTCTTGTAATACAGGCTTCGGAGAAAACGCAAATTTATAGAGCTATTATAATGAAAACATTTTTTCGCGCTTTTTCTTTTGTTTTTGGTAAGGTTTCTGCGCATATGAGAGACTGTTGTCAACTAAAGCAGCGGTTGTTCGCTTTGAACGAGAAAAAGGCGTACTCGGAGTATATTTGGGGACATGAAAAATGTACGGTGATTGAAACTCCCATCAAGCATTAATTTCCAAAATGGCGTCGCTGCAGATTTCTATTATGTTATAATATCCAGAAACGCGAGTTCCAGTTAATTGAAATTATTAAAAATTCTAACTTAATCATCTACTACTTTATGAGGCGAGTAGAACCTCTTTCCTTAGGTTCCCATTAAGGGCTCCTCGAGTCCACCTCCTCCGCTGCTCTTTTGATCTAATGACGTCATGTTTGGTTTGCCGAAATGCATCATGGAACTGATGGAAGTATCAAGATGGCGGATGGCTTATAAAAAATATGGAGGACGAAGTTTTCTTTCAGCTCAACACTGGAAAAAGCTCATTTGTTTACAGAGTTTGTAAATAGAATATACTGTAAGTTCAACTTACAGACAAAATGTCCTTTTACAAGCGTTGTAAATTTTATGTCATTTTGGAAATATCTTTGGTCGATCAAATATTGTAAATATCTTGTAAAATCAATTTACTAAGTTTGTGAAAGGACACTTTGTCTTTAAATTTGAGTAATTTACAGTAAATTAACAGATTATGTATATTTATCAACTTTTCCAGTGAAAGGTCGAAAATCTCTCAAGGCCGAATTAGACGGGATTTAAAACGTTTGCTTACATTCAAAAGACATGAAGCGCGCCCCCGAATAGCTCGTTATTCAATGCATCATTGGATTTTTCATTTTAATTTTCGTTTTCAAACTTCAGAGTGATTAATGCAAAATTAAATTCAAATCTCAAACTCTGATAATGACAGAAAACAACACCGCATTTCCAGCTTTTTGAGACCGTCATTCCTTTCTCACTAGAAGGAACAGATCCAACCAAATTAACAGACAGCATATTGCAATGCATCGACTTGTGGAAATTACAAAAGACCAGCATGTTTACAAGTGAAATACGAAGAAGGCTTTATGAAAATCCGATCAATAATCCAATCAAATTTCGAAGTTTGAATTCAAATTTGATTTCAATAATGTAATGTTGAATCGACCAAGAATCGAAGAATGAATTGAATGGCGTTTTGAGGGAGCGCACTTCATGTCTTTTCACTGTAATAGCACCACGGCAGTTGTAGCCATGTTGTAAGGATGACTTACGCAGATCGCATGTGATGGTTGTGTCGACGGCCTTTAGAAGAGCATTGAATGACGCACTTTATTGTACGTCAAGTTGAGAGGCCTGTCTGGGAAATAGCTAAATACTTTATTTTCGAAAAACAACCCGAAAGAGCAGAAAAAAAACGAACAAAAACCAGCAACATGCCATGACCTTATTTGTACTTTTTCCAATACCATACTGCATTTCGGTCCGGCAATGCTGCAGCATCGTACTTCGACGGAACGTCATTACCAACATCAAAATAGTTCGAATTAAAGTTAAGTTTCAACTTGAATACCCCGTCTTTATGAATGTCATTAAAATTCTATTTAATTGGAAAGATAGAGCCTAAATAAAAATTTCTATTGAGTTAGAAACAGGATATTCTAAAGTCGCTACCAAATTTTCATTGAGCCATAAATGCAATGCCGGTGCAATCCATGAATAGTCGAAAGTGTTCAAGGTTTTTTCTTGTAGTAAGCCATCCTATACAAATGGCGCCTTACCATTCGCGTAGCCATCTCTAAATCAGCAGTGCGATTGCTTTTTACCAATACTACTTTATCCTGCACATCTTTGGCAAGTTTTCCAACATCTAGCTTTTCGTGAGAGCTAAGGTTGAGACCTCGCGTGGACGTTTTCACGTCATGTATACTCTTGGAGCCACAAGGTTCATCTTCTATCGCAGGGAACTTCAGCAGCATTCGGGCCACTGCGGAACCTCTTGTATTTCCAACAGCTTGCTCTCTTTTCTTCTTTTTGATGCCCTCCAATGTTTCGATTGCATCATCAAGATCATCGGACAAAGCGATTCGTTTGGCGACTTGGTCTATCGGCTCTAAAGATCGACCATTTTGCAGTAGTTGTACGAACATGGACGAATTGAACCTAGGATTTCCGAGGACATCTTCGGCGAGCTGATTCTCGTTCGTGTCCCCAAAATGGCGGTTTAGGGCATCCTTCACGAGCTCACCAACAGTTTCTTCTTCGTTTTCAATGGACATATCGTGCTTTACGACATCACCAATAATCTAAAACATAAATAATTATATTCCTCATTGGTGAAGCAGGACCGAGTGATCATGGGGTAGGTCAATGTGATCATTCAATATCGAAGAAGAATGGATGGGATGGGATGGGAAAGAGAAGAAAGGGAGGAAATGAGACGTGAAAAAAATGAAGATGAATAAAGGGAAGGAGTAAAGGGGGACGACAAGGGGACGATGAATCAAGCTTCAATAGTGAGAGAGTTAGTAAAGGGAGGGACGCAGAAAGGTAGAAAATAGAGGGACGGAGACATGGGAGGATGAAGATGCGAAGTACTGTGCTTCCAGAGATCATTTCGTATGTATTTTATCAATTTAAACTCGCTTTATCTGGTACTAAGTACATATTGTAGAACAATTCACCTTCCTCATATAAGCTGCTCAATATAAAAACAAAGCTATCAAACTAAACAAACATACCAATTCACAATATACACAATACCTTGTTCTGATATGACAGCAAACTTTCATTTGAAATTCTAAAATACCGACCGCCACCAATATGGGCAATTCCTGACAAGAACAGCTCTTCGGTTTCAAAAGTGATTGGATCGGTTTTTGTTGCTTTATCATCAGCGCCAATGATATAGAGTGGAATTTGACATTTTGTCAGATCGTTGGTCACTTCAAAGACATCATTACCGCTGTGACTTTTATAATGGACCAACTCCTTGGTTTTTGTAGGAAAGGCTGTAAAGAAAAAATCATGATACAAATAAATGTGATGTAACACAGCGCAATCTTCTCAGCAATTTGCAATATTTTTTTGGCAGAGAAAAGCCAGGGGTCAGATCAAGATTGTGGACAGTCGAAATGAGGAATTTCACATGCTTTCAACGCATACATGGCTAGGAAAATATCTTGATATTTGTTAAAGGAGTTCATTTTAAAGATGTCAAAAATATTTTGATCCCTCCTTTGACACACAGAAAACAGAAGGTCAAGGAAAACTAATTTCGTCTTTACTAAGACCTTCCCAATTCCTTTACAACTGTTGTATACGATAAACGCGAGATCTTTTAAAATAAAACTTGGAAAATAAATTGAGGGGAAAGTTACTGGAGGCTTGATACAATATTTATTGGTGTTGAGGTTGCTAAAATGTTTCGAGCAACCAAAAAAAGTTGCAAGACAAGCCTTGTTACAGCAACCTCTTCAGTTTGCAACAGTATTGTAGGTCCTAGTGTGTTATGAATAGTTTAAAACACGATCTCTAATGTTTTATGCGGCTTCAAAAACTCCACCACTAATTTAAAACTCAAATCCGTTAAAATTCTTGGAGAAATTAAATAAGTTTTGAGATATTGGGGCAAATTGATAATGCTCGAATCACTTTACAAAGCACTCTTGTCATCCCACATTGAATACGCATAAAGTAAAATAGAAACGCTCTTGGCTGTTTACTGCTATCGGTTGACATCCAGCATTGGTCAATGATCAGGTTTCAAACCTGAGACCTTTGCTAGAGTCATGGACCTTTATATCTTATAAAGGTCACCTTATTAGTATTCTTTATATAAAGAATACTAATAAGGAATGTTTTGTCAAAAGGTCTATGCATGTGACCAAATAAGCTCATTCTATTGGCCTAATAACTCATTAATTACATTATGTATGAGTTTTTGAAGGGATCTTAGTTTTCACTCGTTGTCTCAATGACGCGTCCCCTTTGTCAATGAGGTGAATACTTACTTATTAAAATACAGAGTTTAGATGCTTCCGGGCGCGCAGAACTACTTTTTGCAAGTTTAACCACTTCAGACAATGCATCTGCCATGCCAGAATTCCCACCATTCATCGCTCCGCACTGCCCAAAACTTTTAAGCTTTGATTTCACATCAAATTCTTTGCAAAAACCTTGCACAACATGGACATGTTTAGACGTTGAGTCAGTGTGGTTGCCATACTGAATGATTGACAGGTTTACGTCAAAGTCACTAGTCTTTAAGAGATCAGTCACAGCAGACTGACACATATTCATCACTTCCTTGCAAGCATGTGGTATGACGGAGTGAGGCATTTCCACGACCAGAATGATGTCAACAACATTTTTGGTATGGTATTGAAGTTCTGGTTTTCTTGCTGTAAAGGAAACAAATAAATATGAGAAATAGTGCTGATGGTTGCATTTTAATAATTCATGAGCCAGGAGTCCATTCAGTGCTGTCTTTTAATTAATGCCAATTTGCAAATATTTATTGAATCAAACAAGTGCTGTGGGATATTGATTTACATGTAGCACATTGTAAGCAAAAAAAAAGTATTTCACAGCATAATTTTCTTAATTCATGTATATATAATTATATGATAAACAGAATATTAGAGTGGTTTTCATTAACCCGTGAAACACACTTTAGCGTATTTATCGCTATTACACTTTGGCTCTTTTGTTTTTTATTGTCTCCACGCGACTATTGCGATCTATTACACTCTAATTATTACACTTTGTTTCACGGGTTTATGAAAACCATTCTACACAAATTTTATCTTCTTGTGTTGAAAATCTCTATGCTCACATGTGAGATATCTTTTCAACACTCAAAGATAAAATGCGGATCTTTGCACATCCATGTAATACCCTCTAGCTTATATTCATAATTTATTTTTATTAAGGTTTTATTCACTTGCATTGTATCAGGACTATACAATGTTATATGTTCATTAATGCAGGATTTTGATCAGAAGCCAGCACTTGTCTAATTCTAATGCCTATTTTAATCTTTTGTTGTACTTTTGCTACATTAAGGTTGAAATGTTTGTGGACCCTTACATGTATGATTCACATATGGTAACTATTTTAGAACAGCCAAAAACCTCTAAATCTAATTAAACCTTATGATAAACCACATATGTAGTACCTGACAAACTAACACTAGCAAAGGTTGAAGTTACTACTTGCTGTTGCAGTTGCTGTCCATAAAGCCAAACCCCCTCTAGTGTTTTTGCATCTCTCTGATTTTGAATTGATTATTTACAACGGACGCAATAAATTTTTTAAAACATACATTTTGCATCAGCAATTTTGCTGTTACATTGCAATCTATGCTAGGGTATTTGTTGTTGTACGCTATTGTTTAATTGGACAATAAGGGGATTAAAGGTTTCATATATAGATCATCGTTTTTACCATAGCTCTATCATTTCTAACATTTTTATTGAGCAGAATCCCATTCACTATATACCATAACACACGATGAAATGCCATTGTGTCATTACACATATAAAGTGTGTTGATATACACAATTGTACAAGGGGGGTTTTGGCTTTATGGACAAGAAATTTAAAGCAAATTCTAGGATTTAATTTCAAGTTAAGACAGTCAGAGTCTGTTTGTCTCAAAAGAGCTACCATGCACTAAAGACATACCTTTTGCTTCATACCATTACATGTAACTCCCTATCAAATTGGTGTACAATGCCGAAACTCTGCATGAACGTAGCAATATGATAGGGAAGTTCTTTTCCAGAAATCGGTCAATATATATTTAATACAAAGAAAAATGTAAATTTTTGATCTTGTATAAGCTCTTTTTCTTTGAAAATTCTTGCTCCAAGTTAAGTACCACATGATGTTGTCTTTCCTCGATGAATTCAGACCAAACTTTGGTTATAGTTAGGCAATACCTCTAATATTATGTCCCTGAGATATCGTGGGAAAAATAGGCTTACGTGCAATTTGTTTGAAATAGCTGTAAAAGCGTTTTCCTGGATTTCCCCATAAAATGCATAATGAAATCCGATTTTCAAAAAATTTACTCATTATGAATTTGAATCCCTTGTTAATCATGTAGTAAAATATTATTACGATSTGACCAACTTRAATTACTTTTTGACCCRTTTCTTTCGTCCCGGTCGGTGTTCTAAACAACTGTATCCAGACACCTTAAGCTTACCTAAATACACATTATCTTCAAGTTCATCCTTCATCTTAAATTCCAATGATTCCTTTAAATTGATTGACGACTGGCCATTCACTTTCAACTGGACAACTCCATTGTCAATCAACCATTGATCCTTTTCAAGGGCACACTTCTGCAGCTTGTCTGTGATGACTTTCTCCTTCTGGTCCTTGGGAAACTGAAATATCACCACTGTTGTATCCAAGTCCGACTCATTCTCAATTGAGTAAAGGTAAACAACAGGAACACTGCGCTGGTCAGGCGTTGAAAAATGGTCAGAAGGATTTGCTAAAGATTTCAAAGCACCTTGCTCAATTGCATCCTTTAACTCTCTAATTTTACCATCTGAAAGATTTTCTTTCTTGCAGGATATGACCAAGTAGAGGTCGACAAATGTTCCAGCTAAAACAAAACAAAAATCATTAATACAATAATCAATAATTATTAATATTTAATAATCGGAAAATCATTACTAAGTTGTTGAAAAAGAAAATCCTTTCATAGGAGTTAATTCAGTAGCTTTTTAACCAAGAAGAATCCAAAGGCAGTGAAAAGGTTGGCCTAACCCAACCCCTTTCAAAGATTCAAATTTGAATGTTTTTCTTACTGAAGCACTAAATTTATCCACTTATTAATATTTTCTCTGAGTTAGTCACTGTTTATCTGTGAACAAAACAAAAAAGAACTCCTGAGAAATGAGAAATATCATTCCTCTAATGACATCTGGAATGGGAAACTAAAAAAACCTCTAAAAGGATTTATGCATTCGTCTTTAAGAATCATATACAGTAAAGACTGGTCAAGACACCTGACTTATAGAGCAGATTTCGCATGACTGTACAAAAAATACTGCAATTTCGTGCTGTGTCTGTACCATGCTGTGACGGCGATGTATTCTTGATGACTCTGGATCAATACCAGGCGAGGTTCCGTGACCGTGCTGTGTGGGTGTACATGTATGTAATAACATTACAGAAGGATAAAAGGCCTATGGTCCACCAGCATCCCTCTCGAGCTTTTGTTTATTTTTTAAAAAAAAAATACATCGTAGAATAAGCAAACACTTTATCTTTATTATCCCTTTAAGCTATACGAACAGAGATATTATGATATTCAACCTTAATTGGTTGTGAATAGATATTTGAAGTTACCTCATTTTTCATTATGAAAATCTAAAATATGACTGCATTGAATGTTGGTAAACCATGCCCTTTAAAACTCTTCAGATTTTTAAGCTAAGCATACAGCATAATGTTCATGTTTCACAGGTGACATACATGTAGATGTAAACACAAACACAAACATACAGAATATAAAAGTTTACATTTTCTTATGATTATGCTTAAATCAAGTTCTAGTAACATTGGGTAGTTGAACCATGATTTGTGTATTTTTGTTTAATGGACTTTTCCATTATGTTTAAAATCATAAGTTGAGCTGCAAACACGATGTATTAAGATTTATTATTTATAAGTTATATAGAAGAATAACGTTTAATATTAAGCTTTAACTAAGCCTTTTTAAATACCTTTGCGAATCATTTTCACTTGCTCCTCCGTTGCGTCGAATACAGCCTTCTCAGAATTTTCGAAATCTTGAGCTTTAGTCAAGAGAACTTCACACTTTAGTACATAAAGAATATCTTTCAACAACCCCAAGTTATTCCTAGATAGCAGGCGATACTTGCGAAGGAGTGCTATCAACGTTGCTCCAGAACACGCCGTATTAACATCAATCTTTTCTAATTCCCTTGAATGAATTCTGTCGTATATTACAGTTTTTACAATTTTAACGTCTACAGATGTAAGTTCCTGTATAATTTGCGCAATTAATATTTCAAACGGATCTAGTACTTCACAGACATACGTCTCGCTAGACGCGGCAGCCATATTGGGATTGACTCAGAAGAATTCACCATGTTTCAGAGYTGATTCCATTGGAAAGTCCTTCAAAGTTGATGCATGATATCTTGTATAGAAACTTGAAACAGGATGACACTAAAAATTACACTGCATGATGTAATTCATCGAATAAAATTGAAATCATTTGAACTTTGTTGGGTTCGTCCCTTCCCAGACGGAAATAAAATCATGTGGTTCCAGGAATGCCGAGTCATTGGGGAGGGGAGGGAGGAGTCAAAAGAACAGGGATCCCAGCATACACAAATTTGGAGCCCTCCGTTCTTAGCCTGTGTACATTCCTGTGTACATCCGTTTCTGAGAAACGGATGTACACAGGCTATCCGTTCTCAGTCTATTAATACTTTTAAAATCCAAGCAAAACGAAAAGAAACAAAATAAATAAAAAGAAGAATAAGAAGAAGTTCACTTTGCAACATTAAAAGAAATATGAGCGTTTTCCATTTATCCGCAAAAACAAAGATTTTTAAACTTTAACTTTTTTTTATTTTTAAAAACGTTAAATCTCCGCAGGCTTGATGCCCAAAAATGAAGCTGTTAAAACAGTTTTAAATCCCCGGCTATAACGTGTTAATTCACCGCCCATCCCCGGGGCCTTGGGTCCACCGGGATTTTTTTAATTGATTAATATTATCCGAGGAACGTTTTTGAAATGTTCTTGTATTGATTTAAAATTTCTAAATCTGTTTATTCTTCATTAATGCCAGCGACTTAAKTRGTGGTGAAACYTGATTTCTTAGTTTTGATTKATTTGAAATGGCGACAAATTATAAACTTGGAGCGATTTGTTATGAAGTAACTTGGAGTGTTTAATTTACAACCTTATAAGGCAATCTTTAGCCTATAACCTCCATTATTTTAGAAAGTCCACAGTTGTGTTTTATAGCGGTTAATAATTGATGTTAAAAAGACACTGTCTCAGTTCTCATGTGAATCTTTCAAAGCAAACTTGATATGCATACCGTGAAAAGAAGTTAGTCTGGAACAGAGTTTCCTCGTAACATTTATTTTTTGTAGCTATATAATGTAAAATATATATCACTACACAATTCATRGTGGGATTATTCCGGGCTCAGTGTTTAGTTATACGAAATCTACAGGATGCCAAAATAATGTATTCAAATTTACGAAGTAGACTTTAGAATAGTTAGTTTACAATAACTTTTTAAAGAAACTCGACCCAARTTTGTTTTGCAATGTGGAATGTTGATTTTAACTTTAGTCGCATTTTTTTATAGTCTTTAGATTATTTTTTGTTCCCCTTTGTGGGCGAAAAACGAAGTCTATCAAATGCGATATGAAACTAATGCTTTGTACTCGTATATAGAATCGAAAACGGATATGAAATCACGACCAAATCGAATAAGTCGTTTCATTATCAAGTTATTTTCTTCTATATTTTCAATTTCGCTTAAAAAAATCAAACTAAGAGATGACAAAAAGGATATCAGTAGAATTCTGTCTATTAAATCTTCTGTAGTGAATTTATTTTCTTTTTCTTTTATAAGAAACGTACGATACTCCATTTGAATAACAATCTCCGTTGCTAAGCACAAATTGTAGATAGCTCAAAACTAACCAATSTSATAAGAGCCCTCWAAGTTGTTTTGATTTTTTTCTTTGTTGCGTCCCRTTTAGAAGTAGGGGGTCCRATTCCTTCCCTTGTRTCAAAATTGATTCAAATTTTTGTACATGAACTTGAGAGCGCCTCTGGGAAATCCGCTTGGCTATAATTCATTTTAGCTAAACTGAACTTTCATAAAAATGGCGGAAAACGRACAAGCTCCAAAAGTTCCGTATCCTTGGAGAATCGCTGAAAATGGCTTGGGACAAGAGGTTTGTAAAACTTGAAAATGAAAATATGCATGTACAAAGAATGTAATATTTTGTGAAACTTTTTATAATCTGTGTGAGATTCAGTTTAACTTATAAAATCACATTGAAAAGTTTTCAAGCGATTCTAGACGCGAGGGAGTAGTTATTTATTCAATTCATTAAGATTACTGGGTTGAAGAGAACCAACATTAAACAATGCAGAGAAAATAAGCAATAATTTAGTATAAAAGTTTTTGATCGTTTCTAAGTTTTGATTAAAAGTTCAAAAAACGATCTGAATTTTAGTTTTAACCATTCATTTATAATGTGTGTACATTTACACCTCTTGTTTCAATTCCAAGGGGCGGCATATTGTTTTAGAATGAAGAATTTTTTTTATCAGTCTCTCTATCGTGACATGAATATTATTTTTATTATATTTTTTAAGATTATAAAAATAATTAATTTAGAATGGGTTCTAGCATCATCAGTTTCTCTTACACTAACTGTGATATTTTGATGCTTTCTGTAATAATAATTTGTAAAATTTAGTGCTTTTGAATGATGCACCTGTGGCCCACACCCGTTATAAACACACGACCACGCGACATTCTCCCACAGTCGACTATAACTATAGGTCCTTAAAAGAACGTCGAACTTAGTCAGTTTTGACGTACAAAAGTCAAGTTCTTATGGGAGTTCAATGTACTGAAATTCGCTGTTCATGTTGTGGTCATTCCATTAGTACCGGCAATACTCCAGTTTCGAGATCTTATTTTGTGCAGCCTTGACCTCGAAAGCATGTAATATATTCTTTTATTGAGCAGAGATCCTATTGTAATCTGTGTACAAAGAAGACAATAAAATATATGCTTGATTGAAGCTAAGCTTGCACAAAAGAGAAGAAACTGGCAAGTATTTTCCCATAATTTCTTGCTAATTTGCAACTTAGACATGTTAGAATACTTTCCAAATCTTTTGAAACATTCATTCTGATATTGTGTGTTTTTTTATATATTCTTTTAATTCGTACCTTTAACTATCCTTTCACACCATTCATTATTGCTTCAAAAGCTAAGAGCTGAATTATAACTAAAGAAATTTGAGCAGAATTAAATTCGACGAATTAAGTTGTAGTAACTATGACTAGCCCATAAAATTCCAAACCATCCGCAATGACGCCATATCAAAGATTTTATCAGTAATAGACATTTWAAAAAAAWACTTTGGAGGCASGAAAATTATACAATAGGAATTGAMTATGGCTGTATTGTTTKATTMCAGCTGTTTKAAGTCTTTGAAACTATTCTTCGAAMACTGCTCCACCGTATCCG